CCAGCGGGAGAGGTGTGAGGTTCGAACTCCAGCAACCTGAGGCTGACAGCTTTGTGGAAGCAGCCACTTAAAGGCCTGAGCTAGGGCCAGGCCCCCAGACTGACCTTTTTAAACCCCTACTAAAACCTACACGAGGCCCGAGGAGATAGCTCAGTAGAATAAGTGCTTGCCTGGCAAACGCAAGGAACTGAGTTCAATCCCCGGTTCGACAAAAAAAATTTAAAAAATAAACGATAAAACCATGGTTTTGTTTATAGTATATGTGCATAAACTTAAAACTAAATAAGTATGTACATCTGTAACATAAACAGTATTTCCAGTGACATTACATTTTCATCGATTACATAGGTCTTTCTTCTGTTAGATTTTTTTTTTTTTCCCCAGAATCAGGGATTGAACTGAGGCTCTTGAGCTTGCTAGGCAAGTGCGTATTCTACTGAGCTATCTCCCTGGCCCCCTGTGTGGTTAGGTTTTTTTCAGGGCATGTATTTGCTTTTGAGCCTTTGATATACTAGTGATACAGGGAACCTCCAAATGATGGAGAGGGGCAATGAAACTCCCGACCTGAAAGTTACCTGGGACAAGTTCATGTTTTTTAAACCGAAGAATGAATTTTAGGAACAAATGGAGGTTATGAGCAGAATATATTTATTTTTGGGGAAAGAAAGCTCCTGTTGGAGAGAGGAACAGGAGGGGGATCTGGAGTGGGTGGTCCCCAGGAAGCTGTCTCTTCCAGGGACTTTTATAGAACGCCATGTAGTGAGGTGATGAACATGGAACTCACTTAGGTGGGCATGAGGTGAGAAAACTATGGTCATCCAGTGAAATTACAAGCACCATTGCTCAGGTAAAATTGATTAAATTGGAATCAAATGGGGAAGCATGAATACAGAACAGGGTCTCTTCCTGTTGGGGGTTGGGTTAGTGACTCATTTGGGCTCTTTTTTTAAGGTAATTTTTTTTTTTTTTTGCGGAACTGGGGATTGAACTCAGATCCTTGCATTTGCCAGGCAAGCACTTATTCTACTGAGCTATCTCCCTGGCCCCAGAAATTTGACTCTGATAGCAGTTAGAAATAGATTCTAGTTAATAATGGTATGACTTTAGACCTT